CCCCCCCTGTAACCCAGCACTGTTAATAAATGATGGAGAGCGGCTTGGCGAGCCGCTAACTTAGGGAGCTAAAAGAGGACCTCGGAGGCAAAGAGATGTCAGACAGGGTGAGAAAGGTTTGAAAGGCTGTGTCTGTACATTAGCACAAGGTTCCCCATTCACACTCAGGTCCAACAGCCTGATCTGCCATACTGCTGTACACATCAGTTATAGCCTGGAGCCTGCCAGTTTTCTAGGCAGAGGAGATCTGATCCCGCAGAGGGACAGACTCGACTGGGACACACGAGCTCTGCCGTTCCAGGCAGCGTGAACGCAGCTGGGGAGCCTGAAATTCAACCACATTGCCAAAGGCAGTACAAACACTGTCCTTCAACTCACTGTAAGACAAGTATGCCACTGGAAATGCCAACAACCTGTGGCCACACTTGCATAGTTCGGACGGATAAATTTAGCCTGACTTGTCCCTTAGGTGCTGCCTGGGCTCTGGACATTTGGGTGAAAAATAAAACCATTAAAAAGATCCTTACCAGCAATTTGCATGAACTAGTTAATTTTTCTTTAAGCTATGGATTTCTTTTCTCAGTCTACCACACAGGAAGGGAGAAATCGTTTGTTTACAACTAGAGATGGAAGTGCCTGTGAAGACTTGGAGTTCAGGGTCCGGTTCAGATAGAAGTGTAAAAACAACTGGAAATCTCATCAGAACAGGCTTTACAGAGGTATTTTTTTCATTTCTGTTCTGAAATCTGGATAAAAACCTCAAGGTGATAACGCTTGGCAGGGTATCCTAGAAATTCAACAACCGAAAAGTTACTGCTAGAAGCAAGCCTGGGATTCAAGGGGTTCTTTTTCAATACAGATCCCCTTCCTTTATCCCTCCCCTCCAGCCTCTTCTCTCTACTCTTTTCTTGTCCTCCCCAGTCCTGATCTGATTTTGGAGACAGGGAAGTACATGCCAAAAAAAACTCCAAAAAAAAGAAAAATCACTCAAGTGTGAGGCTTTGCGTTGGCACCTTTTTCAGTTTCGAACTAGGAGTCCCTTTCTGTAGGCAAATAACCCAGCCGCAGCCACAGAGGTGAAGAAAGTAGAAAATCCAATCAGCTTTAGCAGTCCCGGCACAGACGGCAAGTTCCTCTCCCAGAAGGTTGTAGTGATGGGCAAAGCTGGAACATCCTGCGGGGAGAGCATCCATTATCAACATAACATCGCCACTGTGAGAGGCAGGCTGTAAATCGAGAGATTCTTGCGGCAGAAACAGAACCGGGCTGAGGCAGTTCATGTTATCAAGAAGTACAGCGTATCAAACTTTTCTGCTCAGTTAAAGAGAAGAAGAGGAGACACATGGAAAGGATTCATAGCCCAGTTAAAAAGCGCAGCTCTTTCTGATCCTGCATTACAGAGTTGTCAGCTGGATGCCCTCTCTGAGCTTCTATCACGTTCCTGTTTAGGGAAGGGCAGTTATGGTGAGTAAGGGAAAGTTTATTTTGGCTTTGATTTAGTGAACTTAAAATTTTGTTGGCTGTTTTTATTTATCTCATCAGCAAAACCTCAGAAAAAAAGTAATCCATTTAATCTACAGAAAGACTTACAATTGATTCAGGTTCTGGCTTCCAAATTTCACTGTCTGGGATTTTCCTCATAGCAAACAGTATCTGAAAATAAATAACATTCTCTAGTAAGTACCGTTCATTCTTTGAAAGGGAAAAAGAGCTGGTTTCAATTTTTGTTTTAAAATGGCATGATGAAGATAAAAATTGAGCACATAAATTGCTGTGTATTCAAGTTTTAAAAGAAAACTCGACCTTTGTACAACTCATTTCTGGGGAGGCCTGATATTTAATAAGATACTCCTCCTAGTGGAAAATAGAAACAGTAACAGAAAAACCTCTCTATGCTCAGTTAGTCCACGCGAGATATCGGGACTTGACTAGTCTCATAGGAACAAAGTAATATGAATACGACTAAGAGTTAAGTACATGCTCATGGCAAAGTGAGGCGTGCATAAACCAGCTACTGCATGGGCAAACTGTATAGCCAGGAGTAGCTTGTTTTGCAAATTTTATCATGATGTAGGAGGAGGAACAGAATCCTGTGAGTGGTGACAGACCACCACTTTCAGCCAGAGAAAAGCAAGACTAAAAAGAAAACCTTCGCCGTGGAAAAGTAACCAAAGTATCAAAGATACCAGAGATCAGTAGGATAGTAAAGATTATCTGAAATGATAGTCACGAAAGACAGCAAGATTAACTTCTTCTACAGTAAAATAAAATGCAAGTGGTGATATTAATGTTTTTCCTATTCCAGGCACTTGGAGATTTAAGATTTGCCGTCTTTTACGATGGGCTTTTATTCTAGACAAGATTTATGGACCCTGTCAACTTTTCAATACAGGAGAGTGAGAAACACCCTTGCACGAGATTTTAAACATATTTTCCTTTCACAAGTAAATAAGGAAAGGAAAACATAAAAATTTTCTACCAGTCAAGCTCACTTGCCAACTTCTCTGCTGAGACCTATGGAGGTTCTGCCGTAAATCCTTACATTACAGAGGTCATGAAGCACTATCTCTGGAAGTTTTCAGGAATAGGTTAGGTATAACCTTCACAAATGAGACAGTTGACCCCTGTCTTTTGGAGCAGGGGTATGGGCTAGACAAACTCTCCAGATCCCTTCCAGGCCAACTTCTGTTCCACGACTGTAGTTTTTAGACACAAGGTTCCCTTCACCTCATAAAACAAAGATGAAATTTCTTTTGCTGCTCTATAAACTGTATTATTCCTGAAAATACTCGAGGAATTGGAATTTTCTCAGAAGCAAAATATTTAAGTCTTTGTTTAAGAACTTTATGTAAGGCTGTCTCAATGGTATATCACTGCATCAATGGTATTGTTGGAAACAGTTGAGGAAGGGACTGGCTTGGTGTGCAGAGCTGCAGAACTGAGCTGTTCCTAGTGAGGCTAACGGCCACAATCTCTCAGTACAATGACTAACAAAACGCCCACTTCGGGGAAAAAATGTCTAGGTGAGAATTTGGGATTTCTGTTAGAGAAGAAAGGATTTCATTCCTGGAAACAGAGAAGCAGATGAAATAGCCAGAACCCTTCCTAAGCATTCCAAATCTAAGTGCAAAACCTTCATCCTTTTTGAAGTCTATCCCCTTTGCAGGGATTTGCATCAAGATTTCAGAACACCTGAAGCTGTCAACACTCAGTTCCCATTTCACCTCCAACCAGAAGATCTTTCATTTTCCACAGGATATTTGACAGTGCCCCCTGTTTTGGGCTTGCATCTGTACCTCTCTGGCTGCTCTTTCTCCAGCCTGTACAGCCCCCTCCATGTACCCGCTCCACTCTGTGGCTGTCTCTGTGCCAGCAAAATAGATCCTGCCAACAGGCTGCCGAATAATCCTGGAGGGGGACAAGCAGTAAGTCATATCAGCCATATCGGGAAAGATAACTGAAATCCTTGGGTTAGTATTAGAATAAAAGTGTTTTAAATAACAGCGAGCACTTGAAGATAGTAACTTTGGGTGAGTTGAGCTGGATGGGGAGTCTGTATTGCACTTCATTTCTTACAGTAAACACACCAGTGTTCGTATTTTCTAAATATTTACACTGCAATTCTTGCAATGTTATTTCTGGTTGTGAATCTAGTGCTCATACGTGTGAAGGACAATTAGCTTGAGATGAGGCTTATTCTATCTCACGATTTTAGACAGTGTCATAAATACCAATGCTAGACATTACTGGCACAATGTAGCATTCTGAAGTACAGCCCCATGATATCTAAAGTAACAAGCAAAAAAAAAAAAAATTTTTTTTATCCTATTCTTGCCAGAATTTGCAATAATTATCTTTAAAATTACTTTAAAAACTAAGGCCTCCATATGCTCTTCATTACAACTGCTTTACTGCTCTATGTTCCTTTTAAATTGTGAAAACTTATACTTCAAAAGTAGGGCTATGCCACCACATTAAAAACTATGTATCTGAATCCAATCACCAGTCTGATCAGCAAGCCTTTTTCTTTTTGGTACATCTTATTTTCATGTAAAATCTTATGTCGGAAAGGACTGTATACAATGGCACACTGATTGCTATATTAAGCCTTGACTGCTAAAAGGAAAGGAACAGTCCAAAGAAATCACTCATTACTGTCAATGTTGGCAGGAATTAACACTCTGCCAGTATTTATAGAAAACCAGCTAAAGATGTGCTGGAAATGGTAACGCCGATCTCAAATACCCAATGCCAGTTTTGTAACCAGATTGTGAAAACTTCCCAACTCCTTTCTAAGAACCTAGTCAGCTGTATTCACCAAATAACGGAAGTGAATAAAAACCCCTAATGATACTGTACTTATCCATCATAAAGCCCAACTGAGACAAGTGGAAGGTTATAATATCTGTTTAAAATATTCCCCAGTGATCTTAAAGGTATAAAGTGAACAGTGACAGAGGATTTACGACCCTTTCTGAGGATATTTATTAACTTGCTCTTATCTTACTACTCCGAAGCCCACTATAAATAGACACCGTACCTTCCATACTGCGTCATTATGCCTGGTGGGAAGTAGGCTGTGTAGCAGCCGCCAGAATATTGCTCTTCACACCAGTTCTTCTCTTCATAATGCACAGGCTGTAAAACAGAGATTAATTCACTCAAGGAAAGGACAAAGTCCCGAGAAAGCTGATAAAAGAACAGAGGAGACAGCAGAGAAGAATAGCTTATGATTTGTTGCATGTCAACATCTGACAAGACGAGCACATTTAACAAGTCTCTTAATGCAGCATGGATCCGACACAATAAGCCTTAATTTTAGACACTGCTAGCTATTTAAAAAAAAAAACCTAGCTAATCTGGCCACTGTAGAACATAATCCTCTTAATATGTCAATGTAAATTTATGCTTTTAGCACAAATTTATGCTTTGAGCCATGTAAAGCAAAATTAACCTCTGGTATACACAGGTATAATGCTTGTAATATGTACACTGGAGATATATATATACTGTTAAAAAATGTGAAGTACGGCATTTGCATGGTTCTGTGTACAATATCGTTGTGTTTAAAATGATGTAATCTCAAGATCGGTGTCTACAACTGCTAACCCTCATAAAATTGCCCTTAAAGGATAAAGGATGTTGATCACAAACTAAATGTGAGATCACACAAATCCTATCAGTTATTTACCATTACAGGGAAGAGAAGGCAAGGGAAAGGCAAAAAGAAAAACACATGCAGCAATGAATCTTAGCAACTAGTAAGAGAGGAGAAACATTTTGCTCAACATAGACTGAGAGGGAAAGGCAAGCCTGTCACATCTGAAAACAGTTGAGATGTATAGAGGTAAGCACTGGGAATGCCACCCATGAAGCTGGACAAGAACATCTGCCTTTTAACTGTTTCATAAGCTCATTCTTATCCTTGCTGTCATCCACAACCCAAGACTTGTCATAACCACCTCTCCACTCCTCTACAGAGGGCAGCAAGCCTTCCTGTAGCTGGTACCTTTTCCAAAATGCTACGCAGCACTGTGCTGGAGCACTGCTGCATTCCGGTTTCATTCTGCCCTTCCCCAGCTCAACAAGTCTGACAAGAGATGCCGTGGTTTAGATTTTATGCTTACATGTAAAGCTTCCTCTGATCCCAGAACCCTTGCATAGAGCTCACACAGCCTTGTCTTCCTGCAAGAGAAAAGCAACAGAAGACTTCTGTGTAAGGAAAGAAAAAACAAACCACCTCTAATATGTCCTAGTTTCAAGAGAACCAGTATTAATATCTCTTGAACTTGAGGTTCCAGCTTTTGGGGGATCTATCCTAATTGCTCAGCCTCTGGATCACTAGAAATAACTCACTCAAACTCCTGTGCTGCATAAGTGCCGGTTTTACCAGCAGTTATGCAAGCTGTTCCCTTAAGATACCTCTAGCAGCCCAAATTCATATATTATCCAAAGGTTCTCTAGGCTGTCAGGAAAATAAAGTAGTAAGGCATTGCACTTTTTTGTCTTGGCACATAGTCTAACTTACGGTTTGTTCCTACAAAGATGCAGGTATTGATAGCCTGAGGCTCTCAGGGAATCAGTACTTTATTTCTGTATCTATAAAATTTCCTCCTGTTTTAGTTTATGAGTCTATAAATCCATGAATATACTTCATTCTGTAGCAAACCCCAAGTGCAATGAAGTTTGCTCCTACAAGCTTTTGGGTACTACAGTTTACTGTTAGCCACACCGCACCAATTCCCAAACACAAGAAGTTCAAGATGAAATAATAGTTAACAATTACGAAAAACAAACACGCTCCGCAGAAAGCCACGCTGGGCACAGAAATACAGCAGACCCAGCTCTGTAACTGCATGGGCTACACTTGCAGCTATATAAGCATATGAGGAAACTGTATCTATACTGCTGTATGAAGCAACCCAGCTATACAGGAGCCCAGCTATACCCATGAGCAGCTGAACTCAAAGAATGCTACAGAAAGGGGATGAGGAGAAAAAACAAAACAGGAAGACCTGAAAGGCCTTGAAGAAGGTGTCCTCCTGTGCAGGTTGGGGCTTGAGCAGGAAAGTGAAGGCTGCTACAGTTCAGGAAGAGCTGTGGCCCTGGGGTGATTTTGCTGCTGGCAGGTGTCAAGCCCAGCAGCAGAGGGGAAGGAAGTGGCCCCTTTCTTGTGCCCTGGGGCGGAGGACAAGGGTCAGCCCACTCCAGAAGCAGAAATGCATGGTGATGCAGTGACTGGCCAGGAGGGCTCGGAGAGCTGCAGGGTCTACATATGAACATCACTCTGCAGTCAGGGGGTGACATGAATCCAGCAACAGCCATAACAAAAGGGATCATTTCCTCCATCCCTCTCTCCGTCTCTCCCTAAGTGAGGTGACTACCGTGCCCTGCAGACCACCAGCACCTACCCAGTGTCTGAACAGAATAAAGCTATTTTAACAGCATGATCAAGCAAAGCCTCTGCTGAGGTCTGCCCACCACCTCTCACAAATGCCCACCAGCTCCTGCTTTCAGGGCAGGTCAGTAACACCACGGGGCTCCAGAGCAAAGTGAGTTATCACCTTGGGACACATCTGCTTCTGCTCCTCTCAGCACCATGACAGGGATGAGAAGGACCCCTCGAGGTCTGCCTGTGCCCTACCCTTTTCCACACGTGACTTCCAGACCCTTCAGGGAGCCTGGAAATGGTATACCGGAGGCTGGTAGGGATTCTCATGTACAGCCAACTTCAGGGCTCCAAGAACATGCAAGGTCACTGCTGTTGACTAACCACATTGCAAATACAGATAAAGTTAGTTTAAGATAGCTGTGCAAAAGAAAATATTAAGCTTCAGGTGAAGGGCATCTTCAGACTCTTAAGAAATTTCGACCTTGGAAGGAATTACTCATCAATAATAAGGTATTATTTGACAGGAAGAAAAAAAAAACACAGAAATGCAGTTTCTAAAGGATTGAATCGTACCAACAGTAATCTATCACCGAGGATATTCCCCCTAATAAGAGAAATCCTTGTAGATGCACTAGTTTCTCTGCAACATCTGCACTTTTTGTCCTAGAACAGTTTAAATAGGTACTTATATATGGATTTATGGCTAACGCTAGCATGGAACACGTGGAATATGCAGTGAGTAAAATCCTTATTTCTTGGCTTTGGACTCAGCTGTGAAATTGCCACCATCACTAAGTAAGAGGAATGTTATGCCTGGAGCTACCTAGGTAGGATCCTGTTGAGAGTTACACTGTGCCCAGTGTGGAAGAAGTGTGGAAGAAGCTGCAGACACACAGCTCTTCTCCCTGGTCTCTTATTCCACAGCTGTGTGTGATGCCATCACCTTCATTGCACAGCTGTGAAAGGTAGGGCACAATCTAACCACTGTAATTACTCATTGGCACCTGGCCTGGAAAGACCAGCTGGAAGGCAGCAGTGAGTTTTACTCTCTTCAGTCTGGCTTAGGCTGTAAAATGGTTTCCATCCCCCCCCCACAACCGCTGTTCCCAGCCATGACTTAGGATAGCTGCCACAGACTCTACATCCTACTCTTAATATCCAAGGATTACCAAAAACCTTACCCTGTCATCAACATGATAAAGGGAGAGCCCAGCTTGTGTTGATAGGTGAGCACAGCATCTCAGCGAGATGCATCCTCTGTAGGGTGCCACAAGAAGCCTGTCCTCAGAAGAGATCCCTCCCTGCAAACACCAGAGCCCCCATCTAAACAACACAAACTGGTTGCACCCTGAGCGTACACTGGGAGAAGATCTGGGTTTGCGTTCTACCTTCTCCTGGACCCTGGTTTCCACTGGAAGGAGACTTGTGCTCATGTGCAGGAGAGGAGCTGCAATGCAGCCCAGTGGGTTCCTGCCTTGGAACTCCCCAGGGGGAGTGAGTGAGCAGCTGTGTGGTGCTTAGTTGCCAGCTGGGGTTAAACCTCGACACTGTGACCAGGACTTTAGGAGCCAGAGGCACCCCAGCCCCCCGCACCAGGGTACCTCTATCGGGTACCAACCCAAGCATATTTCATAAGCATTCTCTACCAAAGCAAAGTCCTTCCTAGTCTAAGGTTGTCCTGGTTTCGGCAGGGATAGAGTTAATTCCCTTCCTAGTAGCTGGTACAATGCTGTGTTTTGGATTTAGGATGAGAACAAAGTTGATAACCCACCGATGTTTTAGTTGTTGCCAGGTAATGGCCAAGGACTTTTCAGTTTCCCATGCTCTACCGACTGAGAAGGCCGGAGGTGCACAAGAAGCTGGGAGGGGGCACAGCCA